TAGGAGGGCACTTACAGTTAGGAGAATAGCAAAAACTACCAATTATCGGTAGGAAGAGCCAAAGTAGTTTATACTTTACAGAGGACAGACTCTGAAGGGAACAAAGCGAAGGACAGGAGTGAGGGGCAAAGAATACATGAGCTTCCCATGGACAAGATGTGGATCCCAGGGAAGCAGCAGCCCTGGGCCATCAGAGAGGTGCTGTGTCCTGAAGGCGACTCCAGCAGAGGAATGGGCTCATGGAAAACTGGGCAGAAGGCCAAAGGAGACATCACCAGTGACAAGGGAATTAAAGGTGAAACTGGAGGGCAGGTGGGCACAAAAATGCCACAGAAGAAAACAATCAGCATTTGTAATCTCCTATACCTGTAACAGGCAAAATCATGCCCTAATCTCTGTATCCTACAAATAAGTTCTATTACATGGCAAAGGAGACTTTGCAGATGTAACATTATTTTGAGTTATCTGGGTGAGAACATAATCTAATACATGAGCCCTTAAAAGCAGACAACTCTGTATAGATGGAGACAAGAGGTGACACAGATGGGAAGTCCTAGAAATTCTAAGCAGGAGATGGATTTGATGTAATGGAGAGATAGGGGCCCACACGAAGGATAGGAAAGAGGCCTCTGGAAGCTAAGGCAGCCCCCAGAGGACAGTCAGCAAAGAAACCAGGACCTCAATCCTACAATAGCAAGGAACTGGATTCTGCCACCATGAATTTGGAAAAGGTTCTTCCCAAAGCATCAGTAAGAGCCCAGCCATCACATACTGATTTTGGCCTAGTGAAACCAGAGAGGGCAGCTGAGCCAACCTGGACTTCTGACCCACAGAACTATGAGACAGCATATTGGCGTCTTAAAGCCACACATCTGTGAAATTGTGTAAATTGTTACAGCAGCAATAAAAACTAACATTACCCAGGGCACCACTGCCAGATTATCAACACCCGAGGCCTGAAGCATCTTCTTATTCCTCCTTTCCTCACCTCCCATCAAGTCCTGGAGGAGACAGATGCAGGCTGGAGAGTAGAGCACGGAAAAGTAAGGTAGGAAAATGGAAGAGACCAACCTTGCTCCCCAACAGCAGCCCGCACTGGAGACTACAAGTGGAGCCAGCCTGAAAAGGGGCAAGAGGGAAACTTCTTCTGGATGAAAATTGTTTGCATTAAACTAGAATTTTTTTCTGTTTAATCTGAAAGCCAACAGAAAGCTCTGGGACCTGCCTGGGATTTCATCTAGGGGAAAGAAAGAATAAGCCAAGGAGACTGGTTTAAAGAGCCAACAGCTACAATGAACAAGTCACTTTCAGCTTGTACCTACCATGCTGAACTCATTCAAAAACCAGTTAACATAGACCCACAGTGAGTTCAAGAGTGAACACTGAAACTTGATTTCTAGAAATTAAAGTGGTATACACAAGGATGTTAACACAGCTATTTTACAAACCTAGATTCATAGAGAAACCAATATGGGCTTTCAGGTAACAATTCTACTTTTACCAAAAGACAAATGGGAGAAAGAGCTATTAAGTAGTCTAAGTATTCATCACTACTTAAAAAACAAAAACAAAAAACAAACAAACAAACAAAAAACCCCACTAAAACTATTACCTAGAGACCAAGTAAATCCATCTCCAATATAAAAGTAAAAGGAGGGGCGCCTGGGTGGCGCAGTCGGTTAAGCGTCCGACTTCAGCCAGGTCACGATCTCGCGGTCCGTGAGTTCGAGCCCCGCGTCGGGCTCTGGGCTGACGGCTCAGAGCCTGGAGCCTGTTTCCGATTCTGTGTCTCCCTCTCTCTCTGCCCCTCCCCCGTTCATGCTCTGTCTCTCTCTGTCCCAAAAATAAATAAATAAAAACGTTGGAAAAAAAGTCAAAGGAGTACAAATATTGAAGTATTACCCTGTACCTACTCATTAAATAATCAAGTCAGCACACTATCTTAAGAACAAAAGGCTCTGTAAAAACAGTTTTTACTTCATGTGAAAATTACTTCAATACCTTTGATAAGGTTAAATAAGGCTTTAAAAATTGCACAATGTCAAAACTAAGAATTTAGATGCAAATTTTCAATGGTAGGAAGCCCCTGTAGGTGCAAAGGCCAAGATATTAAGATTATAGATTCGATGTGGCTTCTTCAGAAGAATACTCATACTACAGATAGGTAGGTGCAAGTTAAAAAAAAAAAAAAAAAAAAAAAAAAAAAAAAAAAAAATCAAACCCAACCCTGCATCTAGCATTCTCTACAGACACAAGAACAGCTTTAAATTTGTCAAAAATAAGGTACCCTGAAAAGCCTGAGAAATATCACTCATTACATTTAAAGAAGGGAAAAGACCCTTCTCAGCTTCAGAACCATCAGTGGATTCTACCTCCACAATGTATTGTGATGTGGTCAAGCAACGAGAAAGGAAAGACAAGAACCCAGTCCTCACTTTAAGATGACCTTAGTTCTGACAAGCTCGTTTATTAGCAAATTGGGCAGCCCTGACCCATCCACAATTTCATTTGACTTCTGCTGAGTAAAAGGAGTTTGATTGCAAACGATCTGCTGCCAACAGGGATACCTGTTTAAGATTTAACAAGTGATCAGGCCCAGTTATTAAATATGTATTCTATAAACATTCCAAAGATGTCAATATCCTTCTGCCCTATACATAACTACAAACTGATAGTCTTACATTTCTCCTAAGAATAACTGAAAAACAGTTCAAGTAATCATGTTCAGTACAGAATGCCACTGACTATATTCAGTACTTTCTAGGTAGCTGTACTTTTAATGGCTTATGATGATAAAATGTGGCCTTGTAAACATCTAACATCAATAGCCTACTCAGTCTGCTTACTCAGATGGCACCAGCAATTATGATCAAAAAGAAAAATTTCTTCAAAGTAGTCACAAGGAAATGGAAAAAAAGTACCATTCTAGAATCTCATAGGTAATTTATATGCATGGTTCCACATACACTACATGGGATGAAGGAGTAGCTAAGGGCACTTTATTATCTTGAGCCCTCAAAGGTAATATTGAAGAGAACTACCTTTATACAAGCCTCATTAACAGAGGCAAAGGCTAGGAAAAAAAAAAAAAAAAAAGTGCCTGCTTTGGCAACACATGTCCTAAATCTGGAAAAAAAAAATTTTTTTCAAAGCTGAAATTATATCAACTCATGGGAACAAAAGACTTAATAAGGAGTTATATATGTGTAGTTAATTAAAACCAAAATTAGCACTTCACCAAGAGCTGACATAACAGGAAATAATGTCCCAAGCCTACGGTTCATGTAAAACAATACTAACAAAACGTATGCTCAGTGATGAAAAGTTAGTAATCACTAACACTGTAATTCTTCATTTATGGAGACACAAACCAGGCATGCTCTCTTTCTGGGGTCTTCTGAAGCACCATGTATAATGCTGGACACAAATACTTGATGAATAGAAAATAAGGCAGTATAATTGTAAATATTTTGTTGATTCTAGTTGAGTAATAAAGAGGACCAACTATTAACTTTCTCAAATTTCAAACACATCTTACACTCTAAAGTAAATAAGTACATTTCCCTAAGAAGTAACAAGACTGTCAAAACCAGTAAGTGAAGTAAATATAAAATAAACCCAGACTGGGAGGGTGCCTGGGTGGCTCAGTAGGTTAAGCATCCAACCCCCCCCTTTTTTTTTTAAGTTTTACTCATTTATTGGGGGGGGGAGGGGCAAAAAGAGAGAGAGGGAGAGAAAATCTCAAGTAAGCTCCACACTCAGCACAGAGCACAACATGAGGCTCAATCTAATGACCACAAGATCACAACCTGAGCTGATATCAAGAGTTGGCCACTTAACGCCACCCTGGTGCCCCTAAGTGTCCAAATCTTAATTTTGGCTCAGGTCATGATCTCATGATTCATGAGTTTGAGCCCCGTGTTGAGCTCTGTGCTGACAGCAAAGTGTCTGCTTGGGTTTCTCTCTCCCTCTCCCTCTGAGCCAACCCACCCTCCCCCCACCTCCCACCCCTGCTCACTCACAACTCATGCCTGCTCTTTCTCTTTCAAAATAAGTGTGAATAGGGGCACCTGGGGGTCAGTCAGTTAAGCATCCAGCTTCAGCTTGGGTCACATTCTCACAGTTGGGGAGTTCAACTAAGTCCTCTAAGTCCATCTTCTCTACTAAACTTCCCTAAGCTGCTGCAATAATCTTTCCACTCTGGCTTCCCCTAAAGCTAATGAGATATCCAAAAATTAATTTCTTCCCACTCTGAACTTCTGCAGAACTTAACCATTAACTACCACCTTTTGGCAATTCTTACTTAATTTTTCCAATGTTTACTTTGAACCCTAGGAAATAAGCAACTTGAGGGTAAGAACTATATATGTAACTATTTAGATGCAATTGGCATTCATTTTGTGATAAACAATTATGAACATGGTTAATATAGCAAGCTGAATTAATGTGACCAACAACCCACTTAAAAGTTATAAGCAGAGTCACTGCTTTGTGGAACCAACTTGAAGGCAGCTTCTAATACCAGTGTGTCTCCAGAAAAGGCACACCCCAAAGTAAGTTTTAGTCTCCTCAGATATCAATGCTCTAAGACTATATGAACCTGGTTATCCTGAGAACTAAGAAAGGAATCAAACAAACAAAACCAAAATAAACACACCTAACAACATACACAGCACCGTGACCATCATTCTAAAATGCAAATGAACCCAGACAGACCACTTAGATAATCTTTGAGATTCAAAATATATCACTGGATACTTTAATAAAATACATAAAAACAGAAGCCCTCTTAAAAAAAAAAAAAAAAACAACTACTGTGCTAATTTTTCTCTGGTTCTTATTTTTTTGTAATCCTGGAGCTCTGAACACCTCATGTGCTATCTTCAATGACATCAGAAATCACCCTATGGAACAGGGGTCTTAAGTGTTATTGTTCCATTAACATGATTAGAAGCTAAGGTTTTTACGTCAACCATTTTATGAAAAACCACAATTCTTACCATCATCTTTTCGAAGAGTTTTAAGACTTCATTCTCTGACAGTGGCTTTGGAATGTTTTCCATCATCTCTGAAGAACAATCATTGCTTGCAAATGCAGTCTTCAGGTTGGAAAGTGGAGGTCTCTCCTTTTTGCTTCCTGGAATTCGTATGCTGGCAAATTTGTCCAGCTACAAAGGTAAAAAGTAGCATGTTATGTTAGTATTTCCTTCAACAATATTTATCTAATTACCAAAATAAGAAAACCCACACGGTGGATCACATTATCACTATGATTTCATCCCAAGGCATTCAACACTAGAATCTTCAAAATTTTTTTACAAAAACAGAAATATGAAAAATTTTCAGTAACCATCCTGTCTAAAAGCAGAAGAGAAATCAGACAACCTCCAAAGATTCCTTGTAATCTTAAATTATAGACTTAAGATTATAACGACAAGTGACCTTTGCTTTACGGATTAACAAACTAAGCAGTTTAAAAAGGTAACTGGACTAATTTAGTGGTTGGCAATCAAACTAATATTTAGTATCCTAGTCCTCAGCCCCCTTGTCCAGTACCCTTTTTCATAGTGCATGCCACACTCCTGAAAAAACAAAACGTGATTTAGGAATTCTAAGAGTTGAATTCTACTTATTATCTCCAGAGCTAGTTGTTCCGGTAAATACCACATTTCTCTTCATTCAGGCTGGTCTGTATTTGAATTTCATGAACAACTATAAAGTACGATGGCTGAAGCCTCAGGAAATAAAGCTGGGTTTTTGCGGTAATGGGATTTCTTCTATTAGATCAAATAGTTCACTGATATTTGAAAGTGTATAGACATTAATTTATAAACCTAATTGCATATTCATTAAATATCGCTTGATTTCACAAATTCTATTCATCACATAAAACCCACACTCAAAGTTTCAAGTGGTAACAGTCAAAAACGCAAAATGTCTTAAAGAGGCTAATAGAAGTATACTCAAAAAACAATGGTTCTGTGAATTGTTCAATGTAACTATACGTTACACTGTTCTTACCATAATGTAGGTAATATACAGACGTGTGCTCTTCAGGGCAGCCACTACCCATTTGTGGTTATTTAAATGTAAATTAGAATTTCAGTTCCTTAAAAGCCTAAATGCCCATCAACTGATGAATGGATAAAGATGTGGTTTATATATACAATGGAATACTACTTGGCAATGAGAAGGAATGAAATCCTGCCATTTGCAGCAACGTGGATAGAACTGGAACGTATTATGCTAAGTGAAATAAGTCAGTCATAGAAAGATCATATATTTTGACTTCTGTGTGGATCTTGAGAAACTTAACAGAGACTATGGGGGAAGGGAAAGGGAAAAAAACTAAATAGTTACAAACAGAGAGGTAGGGAGGCAAACCATAAGAGACTCTTAAATACAGAAAATAAACTGAGGGCTGATGCGGGGTCGGGGAGAGGGGAAAGTGGGTGATGGGCAGCGAGGAGGGCACTTGTTGGGATGAGCACTGGGTATTGTATGGAAGTCAATTTGACAATAAGTTGTATAAAAAAAAAGTTCAGTTCCTTAGTTACACTAGCCCCATATCAAAAGCCACATGTGGCTAGTCAAAGTACATATATAACATTTCTACTATCACAGAATGTTCTATTGGATAGCACTAGGATTTCATTAAGACGCGAAGATAGCAATGTTTATCTTTCAAAATAAATCTTTAAATTCTCTGAGAATAAAGCCTAAGAAATATGCCATGTACTGCATTCACACACGGTCCATCTAACATGACCTAATCATTAAAGTACTAAGAATATGACAGCTTCCAGTAGCATTTAGAAAGTCACAAAACACTACCACTACTCTCATCCTAACAACAAAAACAAGCCAGAAAACTTCCAAAATTATAGTCGTTGTTTTCAACCCATCAGGGAGCTGAGGACACAATGAAACCTGGAAGAACTATCACCAAGTGACAAGCTGCTTTTATCCCTGACAAACAGCTACAGACTAAGAAGTTCAACAAGGGCAAAGAAAAAACGGCCTAATTTTTAACGCACTATTGGCAGCCACATGGGTGCCGGCATGAGAAACATTACTAGAATTCCACGGAGACTAATCATGGAGCAAGTCTCCACCCACCTACCGACACTTTCCCTCAGGTCTTCAACTGCTTGGGGTAGGACGCCAATGGCTGGAGGGAGGGCAAGGTGTCCTGAGCCATGTAATGTCTGGGGAGGCCTCTTCCCATGCAAAGCCACTGCCCTCCCAAACACTCTGACCTAGGTAAAAGACAGCCACCTGGGTGGCTCAGTTGGTTAAGCATCTGACTTCAGCTCAGGTCATGATTTCTCAGTTCATAAGTTCGAGCCCCGCATCAGGCTCTGTGCTGACAGCTCAGAGCCTGGAGCCTGCTTCAGATTCTCTGTCTCCCTCTCTCTCCCTGTCCCTCCTCCACTTGAGCTCTCTCCCTCTCCCTCAAAAGCAAATAAACAAACGTTTAAAAAAAAAAAAAAAAAAAAAGACGGGAAAGAAATCCCAAAGACACAATCTGGACCTTCAGAGAATAAATGACAGTGGCTACCTGATGGTTGGCTGGGGACAGATACCAGGTCAGAGACTTCTTGAAGAAACAGAGCCAGAAGTGCAACTGCAAACACAAAGAACTCTGCACTAATTCTGAAAAGGGCATCAGAACTTTAAAACAGAGTTATCCCAGTCTTGAAAGCTAGTAGTTCAGTTGTAAAGCCAAAAGTAGAACGCCAGAATCTCCTTAGTGCTAAGAAACTTTTGAAGCCCCAGAAGACACTAATCAAACTAAAGCAGCACCTTTGGCAAGCCCATCTCCACCAGAGAGCATAATCGACTCAGCCCCAATTCTAGCAGCCTGAGAAAAGGGCACATTCTTTCTTAGAAGTATTATTTACTTTAATTTCCACGTATTTAAGTCAAATGTCCACCGTATATTCACATACTGCTACATACACAAAGGACCAAGGAAATGCCACGCACAAAGAGAAGCAGACCTAGAGGTAGCCTGGATGATGGAATTGCCAGACGGACCATTCAGAAGGATGTTTGTAAAAATGCTGAAGAATATAATGAAGAGTGAACACAACATAGGAGATGGGGAATTTCAGCAACAAAGTCATGGAAACTATTTTAAGAACCACACTAGAAATTTCATACATATATCGGGGCACCTGGGTGGCTCAGTTGGTTGAGAGTCTGACTTCAACTAAGGTCATGATCTCATGGTTCGTGAGTTTGAGCCCCTCATCGGGCTCTGTGCTGACAGCTCAGGGCCTGGAGCTTGCTTCAGATTCTGTGTCTCCTTCTCTTTGTGCCCTCTCCCCCTCATGCTCTGTCTTTCTCATTCTCAAAAAATATTAAGAGAAAAAGAAATTTCAAATGTATCAAAAAAATGAAAAATTCATTAGCTGAGCTTCAGAGTCACCTGAATATTGCTGAGAGAAGAACTGGGAAACCTAAACCCAGATCGACAAAAAGCATGCAAACTGAAACACAAAGAAAAAAGGGAAAGAATAAAGAAGAGAGAAACCAAGAGCTGTGATATAATATGAAGTGCTATAATACAAGTATAATTGAGGACCAGAAAATGGTACATAAGAATGATAAAATAACTGATTTTTAAGAAATCAACTCACAGAGGGGCGCCTGGGTGGTTCAGCTGGTTAAGCTTCCAACTCTTCTTTTTAATGTTCATTTATTTTTGAGAGAGAGACAGAGTGCAAGCAAGGTAGGGAGACATAGAATCCAAAGCAGGCTCCAGGCTCTGAGCTGTCAGCACAGCTGACAGCCCCCGATGTGGGGCTCAAACCCACGAACGATGAGATCATGATCTGAGCCAAACTCGGACACTTAACTGAGACACCCAGGTGCCCCTAGGCCTCCAACTCTTGATTTCGGCTCAGCTCATGATCTCCCAGTTCATGAGTTCAAGCCACGCATCTTGGGATTCACTCTCTCTCTCTCTCTCTCTCTCTCTCTCCCTGTCCCTCCCCTGCTGCCTGCCTCTCTCTCACAAATAAATTAATTAAAAATAAGTCAATTCACAGATGGATACAAGCACAAACTAAGAATACCAAAACAAGCCCACACCTAGGCAACTCATAGTCAAACTGCTAAAAATTAAAAGTGAAGGAAAAACCATAAAAGCACAGCCAGAGATCTGAAGACGCATTATGTACAAGTTAAAAATGACACAAATTACTCATTTTTCACCAGACACTACAGCAGCAGAAGACAATGGAGTAGTATGTTTACAGTTTAGTACTTGGAGAAAACTATGGTCATCCAGAGATTCTACATCTAGCAAAAATACCTTTTGAAAATAGAAACAGAATAAAGACATTTCAGACAGAGAAAACCTGAGAGAATCTGTCTCCAACAGACCTGTACTACAAGAAGTGTCAAAAGAAGTTTTTCAGGCTAAAAGAAGGATAACGAGATACAATCTCAAGTTGTAAAATGAAACGAAGAACAGAGATGTTACTCTATTAGATGTTTATAATACAAAAGAAAAAAAAGCTATGTACAATTTAAACTGAGTAACAATCAAGTGGCAGAGACAAGCATATAAAGAGGTAATTACATATGGATATAAAAAAACGCAGCAAGATATGTGTAATGAACCATGGTAGCCAAGACAAGGGGCATCAACTCAACATGAACACTCCCTTACTTTGGCAAAACCCAGAAATATACCATTGTCTCCACATGCTCAGAGGTCCAAAAGTTAGTGTCCCTGTGTACCTGAGCACCCTAATTCTTGATACTTGTTTTAAAAAATGAGGAGACACCAAAAACAGTAAGAAATGGGACCGATTCCTCCACCTGGCTTCTGAATCACTACTTCATTGCAGTAACTTCTCTACAGGGAATATCAATTCCTGAGTATAAAACCTGTGCTGACTCCACACACTACATACACAAGAAAGTAACTTCATTAATATGCTAAACTTATAATGAAGTGAAATTGAGCAAAACATCATTAATGTGACATCAATATTATAAATGTAAACATGTCAATGAGTGGGAAGAGTAAGCTTAAGCAATTCACAAGCTAATTTGTGAATATATAACCTAATGGTTTCCATCAGCGATAGCTACCCCAAAATTTTCATTTTTGCCAAAAAAAACACAACTTTCTAAATAAGATTCTCTCAAA